GCCTCAAAAGATTTTTTTATTTTGTGAAGTCTTTTTTTTTTTTTTTGCAAGTCAAATACAGATGCAGACATGAATGTGCTGAGCTTTTATTTATTTCTGTTATGTGTAGCATATTTTTGCTATGTTTATGCAGAAAAGTAATGCAAGTTGATTTGACTAGAGACTTAATATAAAGTAAAGGCAAGCACATATACTGTCTGGCAGGAATGCGGATCTCTTCTGTAGAATCCAGTTCTACTACAACCGATTCAAATAGAAACGACAGAACGTTTTAAACGAAAAGTGAGGTTGACCACTCATTTGACTTGGGGAACATCTGACAAGTTACTCTGTCCAGCAAATAGCAGATAGAAGGTCTGAAAGAGTTAATGTTTTCTCGCCTTGCCTGGCACTCCTAGCCAGCGGCCCCGTAGGAACCTGGCTTTCTACTCTGTAGGATTCTATGAAATATTATTCTTTTGGGTTGTTAAGCTGTTTCCAATTTCCTCAATCTCCCACTTCAGAAGATCCCCTGCTAAGTAGAAGTGAAGAGTTCTATAGATTTTCTTTTTTTTTTTGAGACAGAGTCTCGCTTTGTTACCCAGGCTAGAGGAGTACCGTGGCGTCAGCCTGCTCACAGCACCTCAACTCCTGGCTCAAGCGATCCTCCTGCCTCAGCCTCCCGAGTTAGCTGGGGATACAGGCATGCGCCACCATGCCCCGCTATTTTTCTATATATATTGTTGTCCAATTAATTTCTTTCTATTTATAGTAGAGACGGGTCTCGCTCTTGCTCAGGCTGGTTTTGAACTCCTGACCTGAGCGATCCTCCCGCCTTGGCCTCCCAGAGTGTAGGATTACAGGCATGAGCCACCGCGGCCGGCCTCTATGGATTTTCACAGGATAAAAATCTGAAGACTGGAAATCTTTTTGTTTAACTGTGAAACTCAACAGCCAGAGGATGAACTTTTGAACATCATAACAAAACAAGCAGTATCTCATTCTGATAGACGACAAAACTGTTTCCTACGTTCAACATTCTTATTTATAAGAATAAATTCTTAGAAAGTTTGAAGTAACAGAGAATGATTTTTTACATTCTTCTTGTTTTCTGAGACTGCAAGGTCAAGAAATGCATTCAGGCCGGGCGCGGTGGCTCACACCTGTTATCCCAGCTCTCTGGAGGCGAGGGAGGATCGCTCAAGGTCGAGTTCGAAACCAGCCTGAGCAAGAGCAAGGAACCCGTCTTTACTAAAATAGAAGAAATTAATTGGCCAACTAAAAATATATAGAAAAAATAGCCGGGCATGGTGGGCATGCCTGTAGTCCCAGCTACTCGGGAGGCTGAGGCAGGAGGATCGCTTGAGCCCAGGAGTTTGAGGTTGCTGTGAGCTAGGCTGACGCCATGGCACTCTAGCTAGGGTGACAGAGTGAGACTCTGTCTAAAAAACAAACAAACAGACAAAAACCAAAAGAAATGCATTCATTCCTTCACTCAGCAGGTGGTTATGGGGCAGAAACTATGTGTCATTCATGTATACAGCAACATGTGTGTAAGGACTCACACATGGAGAATTTGGTGATCCCTTGGGAGAGGAAAAGGCGGTTGAAGGAATGATGACGACAAGGTGTTTGGTTGGTAATCGGTGAAAGGTGATAGTAGTACCGTTAGCCAGAGTAGGGATCACACCGAAAAGAATAGTTTGGGATTAAGAACCATTGGAGGCCGGGCGCGGTGGCTCACGCCTGTAATCCTAGCACTCCGGGAGGCCGAGGCGAGGATTGCTCCGAGGTCAGGAGTTCGAAACCAGCCTGAGCAAGGCAGGACCTGTCTCTACTATAAATAGAAAGAAATTAATGGCCAACTATATTATATATAGAAAAAATGAGCCGGCATGGTGGCGCATGCCTGTAGTCCAGCTACTCGGGAGGCTGAGCAGGAGGATCGCTTGGGCCAGGAGTCTGAGGTTGCTGTGAGCTAGGCTGACGCCATGACACTCACTCTAGCCTGGCAACAGAGTGAGACTCTGTGTCAAAAAAAAAAAAAAAAAAAAAGAACCATTTGGGATATGTAAATTTCCTGGCTACATCAGTTGTGTAAATCCCTGAAATTGAGGAGAGAGGTTTTAGCTGAGGAGACAAAGCTTGATGTATGTTGGTTAAAATGAGAGAGTAGATGAATTTATAGGGGAATGTAAGTGCAAACAAGGATACAAGAAGAAAGAGGACAGACCTCAAGACACTTACAGGACAGGTGCAAAAGAAGTTCTGGCATTGGTCCTCCTCTGGGACCACAGGAATTGTGGGTAATAGTCTCAACAGACTCACCTCTTTGACTGCAACACAGGCTAAAGAATACAAATCTTTCTCTTTAGTACTGTTCCTTCCTGTCTTGTGTCTTTCCCTGTGGTGTTGATTAAGAAGCAGGCCGGCACCCCTGCTGCACTTGGAGAATTAGAACACAGTTGCATGGGACTCAGGAAAACTGGGAAACGTGATTCATTGCATTATATAGGAAGCTAGGAAAATGCATATAAATAAACAATGTTTGGTCTAAAAGTTAAATTTTGCTAGATTATAGCTCCAGTTAGTTTATAGTCAACCATCATCTGTTAAAACAAGGTTCTTGCCAGGCGCAGTGGCTCACGCCTGTCATCCTAGCACGCTGGGAGGCCAAGGCGGAGATCGCTCAAGGTCAGGAGTTCAAAAACAGCCTAAGCAAGAGGAGACCTGTCTCTACTAAAAATAGAAACAAATGAATTGGCAACTAAAATATAAAGAGAAAATTAGCCGGGCATGGTGGCGCATGCCTGTAGTCCAGCTACTCGGGGGGAGCTGAGGCAGGAGGATCGCTTGAGCCCAGGAGTTTGAGGTTGCTGTGAGCGAGGCTGAGGCCATGGCACTCTAGCCCGGGCAACACACAGTGAGACTCTGCCTCAAACAACAACAACAATAACAGCAAACTCTTCCTGCTGTGTGGCCTAGTTCCTAACGGGCTAGGGCTGGCTACCAGTCCACAGCGCTGGGGTTGGGGACTGCAGATGTGCTGTGTTTCCCCAAAAATAAGACAGTAGAGTCTTGTCTTTATTTTTCCTCAAAAAGACACCCTAGGGCTTATTTTCAGGGGATGTGTTTGTTTTTTTAAGTATAATACAACAATCCCCATTGATTCAAATAGAGTACGACATGCATGAGTTGTGCAGATGCGCTGTGCAGCCACGCCCATCACCAGGGCTGATTTTCATAGCCATGCCCATCACTAGGGCTTATTTTCATAGCCACACCCATCACCAGGGCTTATTTTCATAGCCACGCCCACCACTAGGACTGATTTTCATAGCCACGCCCATCACCAGGGCTGATTTTCATAGCCACACCCATCACTAGGGCTTATTTTCATAGCCACGCCCATCACTAGGGCTGATTTTCGGGGTAGGCTTCTATTGCACACATGCTTAGAAGTCCTGCCCGGGCTGATTTTATGGGTAGGGCTTATTTTCGGGGAAACATGGTAGGCCTAATTAAACTGAACATGAATGAGTAAAATACTCAAGAAATATGTTGCAGGAGTCCTGGTCCCAACTTACAATCTCTTTTTGTGGAGGGTAAATATCATTAGACTCAAAAATAAAACCGGGCAAACAAAAGCAGTTGGATGCTTAACTGGTAAGTTGAGGCTGAATCACACGTTAGGGGAGACGTTGTTGGGAGTGTAAGGAACAGGGCGGAGGAAGGATTGGAGGCAGTGAACCAGAGGACAGAAAGAAGGAATTCTTGGCTGGAAGAACAGGGACCAGTGAGAGAGGAAATGCAAGCTGAGAAAACTGGAGGAGGCCTTTGAAGCTGAGATCCAGGGGTCTGCGTTTGATAAGGAGAACAATAGAGCAGCCACAGTCCTGGGAGGGGTGACCTGGTCACAGCTCTGGGTGAGAGAAAACATTTTTCACCAACTGGTAAATAAAATTGAGTGCATACTTTGCACGCCTGAGCCGTCTGTTAGATTTCTTATTGTTGCCGGGAAAAACCCTGAAGGGCATTACAGTGGAAAACTAAGCAAGACGAATCTGCAGTTGGGACATTTCTGAGTTTCAGCACAAAACATTACTTTTCCTTAAAGCAAATTAAACGCCATGTCTCTCCTTCAAGGGGGCAGGGCATCTTTTGGGTCCTGCCAATTTAATTTTTTAAAATGTGCTTTAGTTCTGATTTTCATAGCGCTCTTTCTATAGAAATTTTGTCCATAGCATCAGTTACAACTAACAAGTGTTTGCCTGCTTTCCATTATAATGACTATAATAACTATATTTTTTCTAACACATTCTTTTTTTTCAGTTAACATTTTGTTTTTAATGATAGGAACGTGGCTTCATTTTCATTGACATTTTACTAATATTTTTAGTAATTTTTAGTAATATTTTTAAAGCAACAAGCTTCCTATGTGATAATTGAAGCTGTCTTTTTTTTTTAAGTTGATGCATGGAAATAAAAATGCCTATTATCTATCATTTAAAACTGGAGATTTTCTCATAGCTCTATTTAGCTATAAAATTATAACTGCATTCTAAGTAAACAAATATATAAAATATTGAAATATATGATTATATCAAACATGCATAATATACAAACACTTTGATATATATATCAAAAAGCAATATTCATATATATTGAAAAACATATATATGATATATATATCAATATTGATATATATATATGAAAAATATGTGTGTGATTTAACATTGTGTTGGATCATTGTGCGATCCTTTGAACACTAAGTTAAAATTTTTCTTTACTATGTAAATTACAAAAAAAAAAAAAATGACAATGATATGGTGACACTAAAGTGACAGTTCTAATTGTGTCCCAAGCGGACAAAAGTGTTTAAATGCCTTTTGGCTCTCCCCATTATTTTGACTGGGAACCCTCCGATTTGCAGAAGTTGTGTATATAAAACTTTCACTGTGATAACTCCATGGCTTGCTCATTGGTACAGCTTTGTTTTATGCCTTTTTTTCTCCCCAAAGTCATGAAGTGAAACCAGAGTTTAGGTGTGTGAAGGCCCAAGGAGAAATGCAATATTGGAAGATCGTCGTTGTTTGTGCTAAGCACTGAATACTCTAGGAGTCTCTGTGTAAAGAAAACAGATGTTGGAGCCAAGTTGGCACGGCGCAATGAACCTCATGCTGATCATATATCACCGCGTTCCTCTTCTGGGCTTCCAAGTGTCGAAGTGCCTTTTAAACAACCAATTTACTACTAGGGAGCGACATAAACATTAGGGCAAATAGAGTGCTGCATTCAGTTCAACTGAGTGTGTCAAATGACAGTTTGAATAGCTCCCTTAAAATGTTGGAGAGCCTTCCACTTCCCTTTCTCTTCACCGAGGATCCCTCATGCATAGTTTAGGCTCTTCTAGAAGAGTCTTGAACAATATTCCTTGGCTAACCCATTCCAATCGGTCATGCCGCGTTTTCCCTGAAAATAAGACAGGGTCTTATATTTATTTTTCCTCCAGAAGACACCCTAGGGTTTAATTTCAGGGGATGTGTTATTTTTTTTTTAAGGATGGTAAACCATCTACATTGTTCAATAGAGTGAAGTCGTCTTCTTCTGGAACATCATCCTCACTCTCAAACCCCGAATCCCATCCTGAATGTCTTGCGACTCTGTTTCCTTTAGAACACTGGCCCGATCTCTCCTGTGGAGCACTAGAGCTCTCACGGGCGGGATGAGAAGGGCTGCTCCTGTTCTTTCCGCTCCACCGACGACCGCAGGTTGTGCAGATGCGCTGCGCAGCCACGCCCGTCACTAGGGCTGATTTTCATAGCCACGCCCTCACTAGGGCTGATTTTCATAGCCACGCCATCACCAGGGCTGATTTTCATAGCCACGCCATCACAGGCTAATTTTCATAGCCACGCCCTCACTAGGCTATTTTCGGGGTAGGCTTCTATTGTGCACATGCTTAAATCCTGCTGGGCTCATTTTATGGGAGGGCTTATTTTCGGGGAAACACGGTACTTCTTAGGAACAATAAATTTGTCTCTGCCTCACAGTGCAGCATGAAAAGTTTCTTCGCATTCATCCTTGACGGGTAGGAAAAAGCATTTTGACACCAAGATCTCTCTTTATGTGTCTCAAGAACATTTTGACAATTATGATCATGGGACCATAATATCAAGAGGTCCTGATATGAATCCAATCGATACATTTTTGAGCTGTTTTTATTTCTGGTAGATTATTCCTGGTTCTGTGATAATGCTCTTTGATTCTGATTTTAAGGCTGGAGAGATCGTTGCTTATATAAAAATACTACTTTGGTAACCACATGTTTTCAGTTTGTGGAAGTCAGTAGATTTTGATAGCAGTATTATTTACTTATTTCTTTAGCTTTGAGTGCTTTTGGTTTTTCCCTCGTGTTTTGTGTTTTAGTTGTTTCATTTTATGTTTCTTACTATTTTAGTTCTCTTGGCCGTTACTATTTAGCCAAGATAATTTTGAATTCTAATTCTGGGAGAATCCTCCTTTTTTTCTCAGTGCTTCTGTCTTATATTATCCTAATGACTGAGAGATATGCATTGTCCTCTTGTCCGTCTAGGAGCTGCTTTTTAGCTGGACAGTTGTGACGGGGACTGTATGCATCAGAGTCTGACAATTTATTGATATTTATCTGGCCCTTGACAGAAAAAGTTTGCTCAACTCTGCTGTAGATTAATTCGTTTCTGTTTAAGCATGCTGGCTTGGCCATTAGGGAATCTTGGTTCCAGTTCTACCTCTGCTTTCTAATTGGCTTTGTGACCTTATATAAGTCACGTTCACTCTTCAGCTACAAAATTCCAGAAACTAATGAACCCTATTACTTAAAATCATTTAAAGTTATATTTTTTCCTAGAGATTAAATTTTGGGCGTGTGTAGTCACCTTTGAGTATATTAGACACACATACAAATTCCGTACGTACTCAAAGACATAAATAATGATAAGGCAGGGCGAGTGATCACACCTGTATCCTACTCTCTGGGAGCCGAGGCGGGATTGTTTGAGACCCAGGAGTTCGAAACCAGCTGACAAGAGCGGACCTCCTACTTATAAAAGAAATAATTGGCCAACTAATATATATAGAAAAAGATCCAGGCATGGTGCGCACGCCTGTAGTCCAGCTACTCGGACCTGAGGGCAGGAGATCGCTTGAGCCCAGGAGCTGCAGGTGCTGTGAGCTAGGCGACGCCATCGGCACCTCCTCTAGCCCTGGCAATCAAAGCGAGACTCTGTCTCAACACAATAATAATAAATAATAATAATAATATCAGATTTGCTCTCTATACTAGCTTGATATATAGCCAACTTATAGACACAGGTACTTTATCTCTTTTAATCTTCAAATACCTTCAATGCACAGTGGGTGTGCATGTTTACATTTAAATAGAAAGGTCTGAGATCCGTTAACACAGCAAGCGCAACGAGCAGAGCTGGGACTTGAACCCAGGTCCACTGGTAAAACCCATGCTTTCTTTTCTCTATAGCAACCCTGTCTCTTTTTCTGAGCCTCTTTTATTTGAATTAATAATACATTTGAATATAATTGAGAGCAACTCACTAGGCGGAGGTCACCACCTAAATTATTCCAGAAGCACACTAATGTTATAACAATAAGAAACATAAGAGATAAGCACCTAAAATGATAGTCTGCTTCTCTATTCAAAACGTATTTCCTTGGGCCCTTTTCATAGCCTGTTCACTTTTGCTTTGAAAAAAAAAAATCTAAACATTTGCTCTTTTTTTGGATCTCTATAATTAATGGCCAAACAAATTGGAAGCTTGAGGATGGATGGCATAGTGGCGAGGGTAGGACCTCCAGCAGAGAGATGAGACTGCTGGGGTTACGCTATAGTGTGGAGTGAGACACTCTAAAATCAAAAAATAAGCTCTTTATGGCAGCTCAGCATAGAGCAAATCAGCCCAGAAAACCTTCAAGCAACGACTGAGGAATATTTGCTGCTCAGTCTTCAGGACTCGGGAGTGCAAGGAAAAGTTACACAATTGCGTACTTTATTTAAGGAAGATGGGGAGATCACAATGAATGTACAAAATAAATAAATAGGCCCTCATTCAAAATTAAAAAAGCTTCCTGCACAGCCAAAGAAACTGTCAAGGAGCAAACAGACACCCACAGAATGAGATAAATTTTCGCAAGCACACATCCGATATAAGGGCTGATAACTGGAATCTATCTAGAACTCAGGAAATCAGCAAGAAAATGATCAACAACCCTACAAAAAATGGGCATAGGACATGAACAGAAAATCTCAAAAGAAAACAGAAATAATGGCCAACAAACTAATGAAAAATAGCTCCACGTCCTAACATCAAGGGAAATCAAATAAACCACATGAGATATCACTTAACTCCAGTAGAATGGCCCTTATCAAAAAGTCCCCAAACAAACAAATGCTGGCGTGGATGTGGAAGAGAGGAGTAACACTCCTGACACTGCTTGTGGACTGCAACTAGCTCAACTCTGTGGAAAGCAATATGGAGATACCCTCAAAGCGATACAAGTGATCTACCATTGATCCAGGCAACTATAACTGAGGGACATCATACCCAAAAGATCAAAAGTCCACTTTATGAACAAAGACACCCTGCACTCGAATATTCATACACACAATTCCAATTGCAAAGTTGTAGAAATACAACCCAAGTGCCCGCATACATGGTGAACTTAATAAAATGTGGTGTATGTGTACCATGGATATTACTTTCAGCCTTAAAGAAACAAGGGTGATCTACACCTCTTGTATAATTTCTTGGCTAGAGCTGAACCATGCTACTAAGTGAAGTGTCAAGAAGAAAAACAAGCACCACATGTATCACCAGCAATTGGTATTAAATGGATCAACACCTAAGTGGACGTATAGAATACATTTATCGGAGTGTCACAGGCAGGTGGGAGTGGGAGGAGGGATGGGTGTATACAAACACAAGAGCTGAAGATGTGAACGTTTGGAGTGGACCACGCTGAAGTACTCGGACTCGAGGGGGGAGGGGAGGCATGGCAATATAGTAACCTTAAAACTTGTACTCCCATAAATATGCTGGAATAAAAAAAAAAAAAACAATGAATGGATAAAGAAATGTAGTATATAACCCAGTGGAATACTACACAGCCATAAAAAAAATGAAATCGTCTGTTCTCTCAATTGGTTATTCAGGTAAAAAGAAAAGAATAAATCAGGTCATTGGTGATGGAATTCAAAGGTCGTTTTGTTTAAGGAAAAAGCCCAGGCACAGAGCAGACAAATATTGCGTGTTCTCAACTCATAGGTGGGACCTAAAAAAGATTGATCTTACAGAAAGCATTACGTAGAACGGTAATCCCGGGGTCAGGAAGGGGGTGTGTGGGGGAGGATGGGTGAGAAGGCTGGTTGATGGTACAACATACAGTTAAGATAGAAGAAATGAAGTTCTAAGTTCGATACCAGAGTGGGATGACTATATTTAACAAGAATAATTGTATATTCAAAAACAGGAGAGAAGAGACTGAAATGTTCATGACACATAGAAACGACAATACTGCAAGGTGCAGATTCCTTAAAATACCTGGACTTGATCAGTATACATGCTAATCAATGTACACGTATCACATGTACCCCGTAAATATGCCAAATATTAATGCACCGAATATAAAAAAAAAGGTAGAATGAGTTTCCACTTAATTTGAGAACTTGCAATAAAATTATGAAAGAATTTAGGACTCAGATAAGTTGCAGTATATTTGAATACTTTCTCTTGTAGAATATATCCTTCCTTCAAAACACTGAGCAAATGAAAACTGCCAAGACCAATATTAAAAATTCTCCAAATTTCACCTATTCATCTTACTCCTTGTTTCTTTTGATTATTATCTTGATTCCAGTTTTGATGAATGGTAGTCAGGAGATACAGTAATTAAAAGTCTGACTTTCTCTGCTTCATCCTATTTCAGATTTTTTATTTTTCTCAAAACCCAATTAACCTAAATTTTCCCATTATCTCTTTTCATTCCCTATTGCTTTTGAAGAAAGTTTTATTGTCTTTCTCATCGGCGTCTCTTTTCTTTTTTTCCCAAAGTCAACACAGCCCATTTTTTTTCCCTTCAGTTTCAAAACCCACCTTGCCCTTAATCCACTGTGTATTGTTGATTGTGGAGTTCATCTGCAAAAGGAAACTTGCCAAGATTGGGAAAAGCCAACTCCAGAATAAATTGCCACGCTTCAACGTTTTTGTGGCTTTCTTCCTTTGTAATTGGCTCTCCATCAGTACTAATCTTTCTTGTTCTTTTCTTTTTTTTTTTATTTTTTTTTTACCTTCTGCAGACTGTTGCAATGGGATCTTGGTTTCATTTTAAAAAATTTAATAGAGTCCGGGCGTGGTGGCTCACGGCCTGTACATCCTGAGCACTTTGGAGAGGCCGAGGCGGAGCGGATTGCTCAAGGTCAGGAGTTCGAAAAACAGCCTGGCAGCGAGAC